ATTTTAAAGTTAATATAATACAAATTCTTCATATATGATATTAATCTCAAATTTTAGTAATATTGAAACCTATTTTGATTATATATTTATATTTTTATTAAAATACTTTTATATATAATTCTTTTTAAAGTGGTAACAGTTGTTTGCTTCATAATATTCCATCATATTGTGTCAAATTTAATTTTGTTCATGAGTGATATCCGACCTTACTAACAGACAAGCTCCTTTGCATATGCACTCCTAATAATCATGAAAAAGATCATACATAATGTGAAGATTTGCGCTACAAATACTTTACACAAATTAATGTTGTAGACTTCTAACATTTTCTAGGAAGAAAAAACACATGAAACAAATATTTAAGAAATAATATGTAATTATTAATTATATTCAACAAATATAATGTAAATAATAATTAATTATTCATATATTACATTAATTTGAAAATAAATTCAAAAAAATTTAAAATTCCTTCACCAATTTTTTGTTCATGTAATTACTCAATATTAAATAATTATTCAATAAACTGCTCATTTGTTCAAACAGAGTATACTGTATCATTACACATTAGAAGAATAGAGATTTAGCAGATTAAACCATATTGTTTTACAGTTTTGAGAAAACCAAAACTTGCACATTTTATCCTTAGGGTACACGGCAACTGGCACTGAACAGTATTTTCTGCTGCAATATTATAGAAAAAAATCTGGGCAAAAAAGATGATGAGGAAGCTACAGCAGCAGGATTGGGAGTGAAGGAATGAAATCATTTTACTGATCACTCTCCTTCGTTGAGGATGGGAACAATCAATGGGTACATTTGTGCAAGATAAACAATTGCCCACCTGAAATTAGAGACAAAATGGATGTCAATAAGATCAAAATATTGAAAAAGATCAAAGAAAATGCCACGGCGACGTTTGATGTAATCATGAACATTAAGGCTTTATTTGGAACGGTTTTCTTACTTCTTCTTAAAGCAGTTTTCTAATATAAAAAATTTAACTTTTAAACTAGAAATCTATTTTAAGAAGCAATAAAAAAGTCGTCCCAAACGAAACCTAACTTCAGCTTCGACTGTTTCGCATTTACTTTATGAATCCTCATTTTTCATTCATTATGATGAAGCATTAATAGTGGTTTTTAACTTTAACTTACCAGTCATTATTCCAAGCTTCTAATCCCATTATTCATTATTTACTCTTTCATTTATTTTTGTTGAGTATTACATAAGATGTTTGTTAACTTCCTAATTATTTTCACCAATTTATTAAAAATGTTATGTTTGGTCTATCAGTTTTTCTCCATATTGTTTTTAATAACTCTCTCTCTCTCTCTCTCTCTCTCTCTCTCTCTCTCTCTCTCTAAAAGATGTATTGCAAAATAAACAAAAAATAAAAGATCATAGAAGAGAAATGGATGACCTCACCAAATGAAAGACGCAACACAATTTTGTTGAAGACACATCTTGGGGTCTTCATAACACTTTGGCACATGAGTGTTGCTTTCTCTACGCTATGACTTTTCAAGTATTAGTTTTTGTCAAACTTTTGATCCTAATTCATGAAATTAAAAACAGATGAAAGGTGAGCCATATCACCCAATTGGGTAACTCAGTGGAGTAGACCCGAGCCAAAGGGAGCACAGGCCCCTACACTAGGAAGTTTTATTTGGTCCGGTCGACCGAATGAGAGAAACATTCGGTCGCAGGCAAAATCCCGTTGTACCGAGGTGTACCGAGTGGGATTTTGGTTTGAGCTTTCTCCCCTCTTTTGATCTCTTGGGTATAACATGAAGTCAACATCGGTATAGCGAGATTTTGCCTGCGACCGGATGTTTCTCTGCATCCGGTCGGAGGACGTAATAATTGTTCCTACACTAGATCCACCCATATCTCTGACCCCCTTAAAAACAAAAGAGAAATTATGAAGACCCTAAACAAAATATTAAAAGAAGACAAAGGAAGCAGATGAAATGCCATCATGCATCTAGAGACTTCTAAATCAAACCATCACGCTCAATACCAATGAGAGCCGCCGGAGATGTTAAGCTTATTCTTTATAAATCATTTTGAGTTATTTAAATCCATTTTTCTTCCAAACACTCGATATTACTTTTTCTGACCGTCTAGTGTGTGCCATTTTTACCCTTCGATTCACATTTCAAAAACCACTAAAAGTTTATTTTAAATTACCTTTGATAAATGTCTCATCTAATATAAACATTTCTTAATTTTATCTCTTCTAGTTTTACTACATATTTATGTAAATATTATCATTTTTGTCACAACTAACTAAGCTAAATGGCTTTTCATTACCCAACACAACCATATAACATAACTACAGTTCCATAAAATAGAACTTCTATCTTCATGATATCTTATAATTCCATAATAATCCCGAGGTAATTTTTCATTATGATGAGTCCTGCGTTAACTTTGAAAGTCATAACCTCGTCTATTTTAACATTCTTCTATACAATAGATAAGAATACCCAGCAAACACAAGTTCAAAAAGAGTGCTGGAGAACTTCACAAATATGTACCATTCATTATGCCTGATTTGAGTTGATCCACGGAACCCAAAATGGACAAGAGGCAGGTCGACCATATCAAATATGATCCAATCACTACACGTCAACCATGTAGTGCTCAATTAGAAAACTACAAGTCAGCCATTTTGACCAATGGTTTGGTGCTTATCTAACTCGGGGATTTATCAGAGTAATGTGCTAGACCGGTCCAGCCGGTCCATATGGTACCAATTCATACGGAACAGAGGCGGAACCTCTCCACCTCCTGTACGGGCCGATCAATCCGCCCAGTTCAAAAGAGCATATTAGGAAGGTTTTAGGAGAAGTTTAGGAGGGAAATTTGAATATAGGGATTGTTTAGGGATTTCCTTTTGAATTGTATGGATTAAATAGTTTGTTTTCCCAGGTTTAGGGCATCTTGAATTTAGCTGAAATTTGATATCTCTCTTAGGTTTTGGGGCTCTAGCGGTGCCTAGAGAATTGGGAGAGATAAATCCTCCTCTCGAATAGAGTATCAATTGTATCTTGATATTTTTCATTTCCATTTCATCAAATAATAAAATTATCTACTATTTTTCTAATTTTGTGTGAATTTTTTGTGGAGAAATCACGCTGTTTTCCAAAGATTGATAAGAATTACTTGAGATCTACAAGTGTTTCCCATCACAATGACAAGTCTTTATAAGACACATCTAATCAATCGTCAGATATAATCATCCGATATTATGTAACTCAGAGATATAGTGCCTTTAATTTTTTTGGGTGGGAGAAAATTGTGCAAGCATGCACTAAAACAACAGGAGCTCGTTGATCAAATTCAGAAGCACTTAAGAAATTCTTCTATATAATTCACTGATGAAAAAAGAAGCTTGAGACCTCATACACACCTTGAAGCCGTTCATTTTAGATGGAAATAAAGGCCAAGCAAATTTAAAAGGATGCATGTATTAGCGTTAATCAATACAATTCGTATGCTTTTTTCACAGAAAAATTAGAAAGCCAGAGATAAAGAAATCAGTAATATAGTAAGGTAGAGAGTATCATTTGTCCTTGGAAGGATCTAGACTTCTGAGCTACCATCAATTTTTCTTAGGTTAGTTGTAGCCGAGTGTTACGCCGGCCCAGGAGGGGCCGGCTGGACCGGTCCAGCCTGGACCGGTCCATTATTACTGCAGGCGGAAAAAATAGCGGGGGGGCGCGGTTCCGAGCGGACACGTGAGGTGAGCCGCGTGGTTTTGGGTGCGTCGGGAGGGAAATTTTGAATGTTGGGGGCTGTTTTAGGAAGTTTGTAATTGTCCTTTGTCTTTAATTAGGAGTTTTGGTGAGAAGGGGGGGATTATGTTGATTTTGAATGTGATTTGGGAGATCTAGGTTTTTCTTTTGGGCTCTAGGCTACGGCTAGAGATTTGGAGAGTTATTCCTTCCTCTCGAATCGGAGGAAACTTGTATCTTTCTTGTCTTTTGCATCGACTAGTGAAATTCAATCGTGTGCTATTGTTTTTCCTATTTTTCCTACGAGTTCTTTTCAGATTTTTCCACTGTTTTTGTGTTTGGTGGCTGTTTTCGCATAGAAAACAGCAGATTAGTTGCGATTTGGCTTAGATCCGATAGGAATCACTTGAAATACTCAAGTGGTACCTATCAAATTGGTATCAGAGCGAGATCCGGATGGTGGAGGGCTGTTTTCCACTGTTTCGCTGCAGATTTTGGGTTGTCGGAGGCTGTTTTCCCCTGAAAACAGCAGTTTTTAGGGTTTTTGAGAACAACAGTTGAGTAAAACAGCAGATTTTGACTGTTTGGAGGGAGATTCTTGCTGTCCGGAAGTTTTTCCTTGCGGATTCGGAGGCATCTCGTTGGTTCCCATGGCATCTAAGCAGGTAGAAGTCTTGGAGACCGAGATGGGTCAACTTAAGGCGGATCTGGAAGAGAAGATGGCCACATTTAGTGAAAATGTGGAAGGGAAATTCATGGCTTTGGAGGAAATGATGAAGAAGTTGTTGGAGGGGCAAGCTCGGGCGGTGCCAGCGGAGGAAAGAGGAGAAGGTAGTGGGAGCAGGGGTAAGGAGAAGGTGAATCTAGAAGAGGGAGAGAAGGTAGAACTGCTTGACAGCAACGGGAGGATGCCACCTCGGGAGTCCATTAGGCGAGAAGAACATGATAGAAGGAGAGACTTCCGGGAAGGAAGAGAAGATGATTGGCGACGTAGGAGGGCCGACCCAGTGGACCGGCCGTGCGGGATCTATAACCACCATGGCAGGGCACGAGGGGAAGATGGCTACCGGCGGCCAAGGAGGGAGGATGAGCCCCGATATGGAGAAAGAGGAACTTGGGAAGATCCCATAGCTTGGGACAGAGGAGGCCATGGGGGGAACAGAGCATACGGAATTGACACGAGGGCCAGGAAGCTGAAAATGCCTGTCTTCGAAGAGGGAAATGTGGATGAGTGGATCCACAAGGTGGAGAGGTATTTTGCAGTGAACGGCCTGATGGAGGAGGAGAGATTGATGGCTGCTAGTATGTGCTTGGAAGGGTCGGCATTTGCCTGGTTCAAGCAAATGGATAAGTGGGAACCGGTGAGGTCCTGGAGGGACTTCAAGGAGGCTATCAGGGAGAGATTCAGGGGGAGCAGCCCATGGGAGATATCAGAACAGTTCTACGCCCTCACTCAAGAGGGAACAGTGGAGGAATACAGGAAGAATTTTGAGAGTTTAGTGGGAGACATGGAGGGCCTCTCAAACAGTACTTTGGGGGGAAATTTTATGAAGGGTCTCAAACCAGAAATTAGAGATGCGGTGAAGGTCATGAGACCAAGAGACTTGAGGGAGGCAATGGAGTTAGCTCAGCTGGTGGAGAACCAGAAGACCAACGCCCGCACGTGGAGGAACAATCACTCAGGAGGTCCCACCAGGACAACTACCACTTACTTGGCTCCAAAAGGGCCAAGCCCAAGCGTTCCTAGGGAGAGTGGAAAGGAGAAGAGCGGGGTGACCAGATCTGCTGGAAGCTTCAATAAACTGACTGAGGAAGAGATGCAGGAGAAGAGGGCCAAGGGCCTTTGTTTCAGATGTGAGGAGAAGTTTGTTCCAGGGCACAGATGCAAGGATCGCGCGCTTCGGGCTCTCACCGTCTATATAAACAAGGCGCCTGAAGAGTGTGATGATTCTGATGAGGAGCAGATTGATCCCAGGTTGGAGTAGCTGAGGTATCCCTCAATTTTGTGTTGGGATTTACTCCTAGCCATACGATGAAGGTGAAGGGGAAGATCCTTGGGAGGGAGGTATGGTTCTGATTGACAGTGGGGCAACCCACAATT